GCATTGGCCTGCTGGAAAAACCAATCCTCAGAGTTGGGGAACAATGTCAGAGCAAAAGGAAGCAAGTTTTCTTCCAGGACAACCTTGTACGTGGCTTGATTCATGCGTCCTTCACAAAGACAAATCTGCCCAATTCCAGCCTTGCTGAAGCACCTCCAGATCATCACCAATCCTCCACCAAATGTCACAGTGGGTGCGAGACACTGTGGCTTGTAGGCCTCTCCAGGTCTCTGTCTAACCATTAGACGACCAGGTGTTGGGGAAAGCTGAAAATTGGACTCATCAGAGAAGATGACCTTACTCCAGTCCTCTACGGTCCAATCCTTATGGTCTTTTGCAAACCTCATCCTGGCTCTTCTTTGCTTCTCATTGATGAAGGGCTTTTTTCTAGCTTTGCACGACTTCAGCCCTGCCCCTAGGAGCCTGTTTCGAACCGTCCTCGCCGTGCACTTCACCCCAGCTGCCGTTTGCCATTCTTTTTGTAGGTCACTTGATGTCATCCTACGGTTGTTGAGTGACATTCGAATGAGTTGGCGGTCATCCCAGTCAGTAGTGTCGTTTTCGCCCTCTGCCGGTCTGTAGCTTTGTTGTCCCCAATGTCTGCTGCTTGACCTTGTTCTTATGAACCACCGACTTTGACATTTTAAGGATGGAAGCAACCTGACGCTCACTGTATCCCTCTGCCAGTAAAGCCAGAAATGAACCCTTATTTTCCTCACTCAAAACTTTCCTTTTCAACTCTTTTGGCATGGTCAATAGTTATTTTTTGATTAATATTACTTTTGAGGTACTATTAGCACTGTTTTTGCCATCCAGCTGGTCCTATTGCAAAAGGATAGTGATGACCACAGCAGTGGTTTTTATACTTTTCCTCGTTAAATAAGATTTGGTTCATGTGATCACCTAATCAGTACCTCATTCAGTAGAATGAGGTGTGCCTGTGTTGGAATTCAACAGACACTGGAATAGAATGGCTGTCATACATGTAGAGATGCTGATTTAAGAAAAATTTGCAGTGGTCTCTTAATTTTTTTCAGAGCTGTATGTATGTATGTATGTATGTATGTATGTATGTATATATATATATATATATATATATATATATTATACACAGTGGGGAGAACATGTATTTGATACACTGCCGATTTTGCAGGTTTTCCTACTTACAAAGCATGTAGAGGTCTGTAATTTTTATCATAGGTACACTTCAACTGTGAGAGACGGAATCTAAAACAAAAATCCAGAAAATCACATTGTATGATTTTTAAGTAATTAATTTGCATTTTATTGCATGACATAAGTATTTGATCACCTACCAACCAGTAAGAATTCCGGCTCTCACAGACCTGTTAGTTTTTCTTTAAGAAGCCCTCCTGTTCTCCACTCATTACCTGTATTAACTGCACCTGTTTGAACTCGTTACCTATATAAAGAAAAACGAACAGGTCAGTGAGAGCCGGAATTCTTACTGGTTGGTAGGTGATCAAATACTTATGTCATGCAATAAAATGCAAATTATTACTTAAAAATCATACAATGTGATTTTCTGGATTTTTGTTTTAGATTCCGTCTCTCATAGTTGAACTGTACCTATGATAAAAATTACAGACCTCTACATGCTTTGTAAGTAGGAAAACCTGCAAAATCGGCAGTGTGTCAAATACTTGTTCTCCCCACTGTATACCGTAATTTTCGGACTATAAGCCGCGCCTTTTTCCCCATTTTTCGACCCTGCGGCTTATATAACGGTGCGGCTAATCTATGGATTTTTACAGCTAACGGCCACTAGAAGGCCTCCTAAATCTATGGATTTTACAGGTTACAGTCCACCAACTTTAACTCTATGGGCTCTATGACAGGTCCGCGCCCCCCACCTTTAAGCGGCGGGCTCCAGCAGGAAAAGCTGGAGGCCGGAAAAGAGTGAGACAGGTAGCGTGCAAAAGTAAAAGTGGAACCGAGAGTGGTACGAGAGACAGAACGAGAGACAGAAAGAGAGCAAGACAGACAGACATTACGAGAGCGAGACAGTTTGTCTCTTTCCCGACAATCCCCTCTGTGCAAGAACCCTTACATGTGGTAATTAAACATTAAAACACCTGCGGCTTATAGTCCAGTGCGGCTTATATATGTACACATCCTTCAATATCATTCAATTTAGCTGCTGCGGCTTATACTCCGGTGCGCCTTATAGTGCGGAAAATACGGTATATACAGTGGGGGAAAAAAGTATTTAGTCAGCCACCAATTGTGCAAGTTCTCCCACTTAAAAAGATGAGAGAGGCCTGTAATTTTCATAATAGGTACACGTCAACTATGACAGACAAATTGAGAGAGAAAAAAATCAAGACAATCACATTGTAGGATTTTTAATTTATTTATTTGCAAATTATGGTGGAAATAAGTATTTGGTCACCTACAAACAAGCAAGATTTCTGGCTCTCACAGACCTGTAACTTCTTTAAGAGGCTCCTCTGTCCTCCACTCGTTACCTGTATTAATGGCACCTGTTTGAACTTGTTATCAGTATAAAAGACACCTGTCCACAACCTCAAACAGTCACACTCCAAACTCCACTATGGCCAAGACCAAAGAGCTGTCAAAGGACACCAGAAACAAAATTGTAGACCTGCACCAGGCTGGGAAGACTGAATCTGCAATAGGTAAGCAGCTTGGTTTGAAGAAATCAACTGTGGGAGCAATTATTAGGAAATGGAAGACATACAAGACCACTGATAATATCCCTCGATATGGGGCTCCACGCAAGATATCACCACGTGGGGTCAAAATGATCACAAGAACGGTGAGCAAAAATCACAGAACCACACGGGGGACCTAGTGAATGACCTGCAGAGAGATGGGACCAAAGTAACAAAGCCTACCATCAGTAACACACTACGCCGCCAGGGACTCAAATCCTGCAGTGCCAGACGTGTCCCCCTGCTTAAGCCTAGTACATGTCCAGGCCCGTCTGAAGTTTGCTAGAGTGCATTTGGATGATCCAGAAGAGGATTGGGAGAATGTCATATGGTCAGATGAAACCAAAATATAACTTTTTGGTAAAAACTCAACTCGTCGTGTTTGGAGGACAAAGAATGTTGAGTTGCATCCAAAGAACACCATACCTACTGTGAAGCAAGGGGGTGGAAACATCACGCTTTGGGGCTGTTTTTTTGCAAAGGGACCAGGACGACTGATCCGTGTAAAGGAAAGAATGAACGGGGCCATGTATCGTGAGATTTTGAGTGAAAACCTCCTTCCATCAGCAAGGGCATTGAAGATGAAACGTGGCTGGGTCTTTCAGCATGACAATGATCCCAAACACACCGCCCGGGCAACGAAGGAGTGGCTTCGTAAGAAGCATTTCAAGGTCCTGGAGTGGCCTAGCCAGTCTCCAGATCTCAACCCCATAGAAAATCTTTGGAGGGAGTTGAAAGTCCGTGTTGCCCAGCGACAGCCCCAAAACGTCACTGCTCTAGAGGAGATCTGCATGGAGGAATGGGCCAAAATACCAGCAACAGTGTGTGAAAACCTTGTGAAGACTTACAGAAAACGTTTGACCTGTGTCATTGCCAACAAAGGGTATACAACAAAATATTGAGAAACTTTTGTTATTGACCAAATACTTATTTTCCACCATAATTTGCAAATAAATTCATAAAAAAATCCTACAATGTGATTGTCTGGATTTTTTTTTCTCATTTTGTCTGTCATAGTTGATGTGTACCTATGATGAAATACAGGCCTCTCTCATCTTTTTAAGTGGGAGAACTTGCACAATTGGTGGCTGACTAAATACTTTTTCCCCCCACTGTATATACACATACATAAACACACACACCCACACACACCCATATATACAAATAGATATAGGTTATTCTTAAAAAGAATACAAACATAAAGTTAATGGCTCAGTAGAATAGAATAAACAATTTAACATAAGTATAATACAGGAAGGCACAATTTATAGTCCAATATTTACACGTGTTTTGGGGATTGGGGGGGCAATACAACAGAACAATCAGCTTCCTATTTCGCAACAAAGCCTCCTTCACTCATGCTGCCAAACATGCCCTCGTAAAACTGACTATCCTACCAATCCTTGACTTCGGCGATGTCATTTACAAAATAGCCTCCAACACTCTCCTCAGCAAATTGGATGTAGTCTATCACAGTGCCATCCGTTTTGTCACCAATGCCCCATATATTACCCACCATTGTGACCTGTACGCGCTCGTTGGCTGGCCCTCACTACATATTCGTCGCCAAACCCAGTGGCTCCAGGTAATCTATAAATCACTGCTAGGCAAATCCCCGCCTTATCTTAGCTCACTGGTCCCCATAGCAACACCCACCCGTAGTCTGCGCTCCAGCAGGTATATCTCACTGGTCATCCCCAAAGCCAACACCTCCTTTGGCCGCCATTCCTTTCAGTTCTCTGCTGCAAATGGCTGGAACGAACTGCAAAAATCTCTGAAGCTGGAGACTTATCTCCCTCACCAACTTTAAGCATCAGTTGTCAGAGCAGCTCACCGATCACTGCACCTGTACACAGCCCATCTGTAATTAGCCCACCCAACTACCTCATCCCCATATTGTTATTTACATTGTTATTTATTTTGCTCATTTGCACCCCAGTATCTCTATTTGCACATCATCTTCTGCACATCTATCACTCCAGTGTTAATACTAAATTGTAATTATTTTGCACTATGGCCTATTTATTGCCTTACCTCCATAACTTACTACATTTGCACACACTGTATATAGATTTTCTATTGTGTTATTGACTTTATGTTTTGTTTACCCCATATGTAACTCTGTTGTTGTTTTTATCGCACTGCTTTGCTTTATCTTGGCCAGGTCGCAGTTGTAAATGAGAACTTGTTCTCAACTGGCTTACCTGGTTAAATAAAGGTTTTTTTTTTTTTTATCTTTGCATTCTGAAACTCTGATATCATCCAACAGCGATGTATTTATGTGTGTGTTAAATAAATCACTGTTGGGTCACTGAGCGTAACAGACACTGTATTTTCCCTCTTCTCTACCTGGGTCATGAAGTAACGCGTGTCCCAGGCATGCAGCTCGCCGTTGAAAGGCAGGTTCCTCTTCTGGCACTCCTTCTCCTTCAGTGTGAGGATGACCCTGCGCTCCTCCTCCCCCAGGGGCTTCAGTTTACGGGCCAGCTCCTCTGGAAAAGAGGAACATTACCTTATTGTCAAAAGGTACACAAAGGACATGTGTCTCCTCCGAAAGACAGACACAGGTTGGAGCAGAGGGGTGGTAACTAGTGTGTGTGTAATTGCGCGTGCATTGTTGTAAAATTTTTTGAAATGTGAACCATTTTGTGTTGTAGCAGTTGTGTTTGTTAATGCATAGTTGAGTGTGAGCAATGCCCTCAACAAACAATATGACATCAATACTTTCCCTAAAATAGAACAGGGTGGTTACGGCCAGGGGAGTATAGTGAAGCAGCTGCAGCACACACAAAAAACTAATGTTTTATTGTCACATACACCGGATAGGTGCAGTGAAATGTGTTGTTTTACAGGATCAGCCAGAGTACTACAGTGCCCCTGGAGCAAGTTAGGGTTTAATTATTACACATATATTACTTTGTTTCTGATAGAATGGACAGCAGCCTCTGCAGCTAACAATAGTCAACCACAAACAACTAGCCAAATTGTACACTGGTCAGTTGAAAATGGAACCACGAACAATAACAACCTTTCAATGAGTTGTACGAACTCCTTCCTCAACCCCTCCGATCTCGATCAGTAACACCCACCTAGGAAGCCGGCCACCTTCTTGCCAGACTTGGCCATGTTCATCTCCAGGACAAAGTCAGTGTGGGTGGTGAAGCCCAGCAGGGAGCTCTTCTGAGCCCTCAGCTGCACCAGCTCCTTCAGGATGGCAGAGTTCTCCTACACCAGGAGAAAATTACACAGGGTGGAATCTGAAATTCATTCCAGGGGACCATTTTTCAGGTTAACCTTGGTGCTCAGAGAAAATGCAAAATGTGGAGCTGAAACGCACCACCAACCAACATGTTGTCTATCATACATGTTCGCTGAAATAAACTTAAACGTACATTTCCGTGCAGCAATTCAACTTTATTTGAGGGGGCTCATTGATTTTCTTGTTTCAAGTACTTTCTCTGGTCATTGCCATGTATTTTTTTTTTATTATTACGGAAGTGTACCCAATTCTCCCCAATACCGGATAGCATCTCTGTCTCACACAGAACAGACCATGGCTCACCTCTTTGCAGCGAGAGTTGAAGGCCTCCTCCAGCTTCCTACGGGTCTCTGGGATGAAGCACTTCTTCATGGTGGGGAAGTAATGAGGGTACTTGAGGGTGATCTTCAGCTTGTCCCCGTCCTTCTCCAGCGAGCTCAGGAAATCCTCGGGGAGACCGCCTAAAGTGCATCGTCATACATGTCGGAAGTCATATTTCTGGATTTGCTTTCAATTATCCAGCGCTTGTTGCTTCTTTTTTTACGCAATCAAATTGGAAACCTGAAAACTAGCTCGATTTTCATATGGCCAAGAAAGAGACATCAACATTTCCAAGCGTCCTTCCCCTTAATGTCACTAAATCAGTTACTGTCGAACTGCACAGTGACCGTCGGTGAAAGTGATGTTTTTGGCATTATTTTGACCCGTGACTTCTACAAAAGAACAGGGACTGCTTTGATAAGTGCCTGACCAATGATCCAATAGCAGACCAAATCTATAGCCTATGAACTCACCCAGCTCCTCTCTGGTGAAAACCAGACTGGTGGTGTCCTCGTTCAGGTGCTTGTTGAAGTCAATGCACAGGTTGCTCAGCTTCTTCTTAATCCTCTTGACTTCCTATTTTGAGATAGAAGTTAAGACAATGGGTTGACAATGACCCTAATGATCAGAGGTAGAGCTGGGTTCAAATACTTTTTAAAATAATTTCTGATACTTTAGCTGTGCTTGTCTGAACCACTACAGGCAGGCTAAAGCAATCGTTCAGTATTGGAAAGATGTCAAATAGTATTTGAACCAAGGTCTAATCAGAGTATGAGCTTTGGAATTTAAAACCTTTCAGTAAAGTCCCTTACATCCTGTGTCTCTTTGGTCAGGTGGAGGCCGTTCCTTTGGCCCAGCTTGATGAGCCTCTTCATGTACCTCTTGGATTCATCAGTGAGCGTGTCAGCGTCAACCTTCCCCTGTGAGGACGAAAAGCAGAACTCGGGTGATGAAAACGATACTCCACCCAGCCTTTGCCTTAGCCATAGGATAATTCTAAAGACAACATGATGAGGCAATAACATTTGAAAACATACAGGCCTCACCTACAGAGATCTATCGGTTTATCTCAACAGGCCAAAGGGTATTTTCCCCTTCTTTATTAGTCCTGATCCCTCAAAGTATTTATCAGCTGTACTGATCTGATGAAGTGGCAGACGAAAGCACATCCACTGAGTGTGTTTTCAGATCAGTGCAGACTTCAGATGAAAAATAAATCAAATGACTTTTTTCTTCCCTTTTTAGCTCAGACCTTGCTGATAGCTATTTTATTGAGGAAAAATGTACTTTCTATGACTGTGATATGTGGATGTCCCACCTAGCTATCTTAAGATGAATGCACTAACTGTAAGTCGCTCTGGAAAAGAGCGTCTGCTAAATGACTCAAATGTCGATGTAAAGAGATGAGGAGAGGAAGTCACTTTAGACTATTGAGATGGACCTTCTGTATTGACCTCTTCCTCCTCACCTCCAGCGCCACGATCCTCTGGTATACATCCTCCCTCATGCTCATCTCCACGTCAAACTCTGACAGCTTCTTGTCGGCGTCGGTGCTGGCCGTGCGCACGTCCTTGGAGGAGGACACGTGCTGGGGGAAGTCCAGCATATTGCGCTCAACTGGAACAACATGTCAAAATGCAAGCGTGAGCAGGTGTTATGAGTGTCATTTTCTTTGCATGTGATTTTTATTATTTATTTAAACAGGGAATCCCCCTGAGACAAAGGCTTCTTTTTAAAAGGGAGCCCTGCACAGGATCATACAAACTCACAATATTTACAATTCCAATGCAATAAAAACATAAAACATTTACAAGCAATTGAAGAAAATTAACTTGCAAAACACGATCATGAAAAAAAAACATTCCTCACTATAAAAAAAAGTCAGCAACTGTATCATGATGCACTGTATCATGACAATGATTATATATATATATATATATATATATATATATATATATATATATATATATATATAGGGCTTTTTCAGTGCTCAGAGTGCTTTCGTACTGAAAGACTGGAACTCACCTCATCCATTACCAATGTGTCGCACCCACCTGTAGTCTATAAATCCAGTCTAATGTGAAAATGTTCTGTTTGAAACTTAAGCTCATGTTTTGGGGAATGTGCATTGTGATGAAACAGGTAACAAAAGGCCTAAAATGATGAGGCAGGAAAGCGAGTATAAAAACATGTTATTTTGTACAATATATTTTGCTGCTCTGGGTTTATGAAAGGCTACAACTGCCTGATGTAACATCTACAGCCCAGGGTCCACTGCCTTTGCCCTGGCTTCAAAACAATGCCCAAAACACTATTGTGGTGAGCATAGGCTGGTCAGCTAGTCTTTGTGTAAAAAGTGCTGATTTGTCTCTACCATTGCATACCTCTTTCCTGCCAACTCAGACTTTTCCCCATCGCTTACAATGGCAGTGGAGTAGATGCTAGGTGTGGTTGCCTTGGACTGAACTGATTATGTATCCTTAGTTTAGTTTTTTGTGAAACCTGCCCATCAGCTACCAACAAGGTGCAAGGACTTGTTATTTGCCTTCTTTACATGAGTATATGGTTCTACTGTACAAATGCACCAATTATGAATCAACCTATAGGTTTTTTTTTTTTTTTTTAAGGGGGTAGATCAGCTTAATATTGCAGATAGATTGTAACTTCCATCAATGTAATTGTCTGCATCACTTCCAATCCCCATGTTTTTATATATATATATATATATTCCCCTTTATTACTTTCCAACCCCACCACCCTTTCCCTAATTGGAGTAAACTAGTGAACAACAATGCTTAGGCCTCTACTTCCAGCTTATACTGACTATATACATTTTATGGACATATAATTATATTTTGTTTGTTTTTTCTCCTGAACTTCTTCTACTCTCAACCTCTCTGATCATTTTCATGATGTCCATCCGGTTTGCTTCTATATGCCATATCTTTCTGTGCTCCTTTCACAAAAGCTCCCAACCTACAACCTATACAGTTATTATGGACACAGTATGCTTACATTATTAGTTATCTTGTTATTAGTTGTTGTTAGTTGTTATTAGTCCCATCCTTCAACTCCATTCAACACCTCCCATCTAGCTCTTAACACCAGCCATATAGGATTTCTATTTGCCATATATTTTTCAACTGTACTGTGATGTTTTACAAAAGCTCTGAACCTTTCTATTCTCATTGTTTCTACAGATCGTAAATTGAAAATAAACATATTTGCTAAAAGTATTATTATATTATTGATCGATTGACTATGACTTTTCAGATCACCCAGTAATGCTATCTGCAAGGTTAGCTCCAGGTAAATATTGCAATCCTTTAGCCATTCCTGGACCTGTGTCCAAAAACAAGCTACAAATGGACAGTACCAAAACAAATGATCTAGTGATTCTGTCTCTTCGCAGCAAAATCTGCAGAGCTGGGAAGATTGTATCCCCCATATAAATAATATTCTATTGGTAGCAAGAATTTTATATAATAATTTAAATTGAAAGATTCTAAGTTTTGAATCCGGTGTCGTTTTGCGTATCAGTTCATAAACACTATGCCATGGGATCGGTACGTCAAAAATCTCCTCCCAACTATTTCGCAATCTATATGGGACGGCTGTCAATCCTTTGGTTATTAAATGAAACTGGTATACTTTTTTATTTATCACAGTTTTCTTTAACCAATTATGTTCTTTAATGCAGGGCCGACAGACAAGTTCCTTACTTTCTCCCCCTTCCACTTTCCTCTCCAGTTTTGCAGTAAGGCTGCAATTATTTGGTTGTAATTTTGGGTAGAGCAGACATTTCCATATGTTTTTGTTAGCTGCATGTGCGACATAACTCCACCAGTCCTACCGATGATATCATTTACAAAGATTATACCTTTTTTAAACATTTCGTCAAAAAAAATCAATGTCAATTAGTATATTTGAGTTTAACCACAATATTTGTTGCATTATTTGTTCTGTCGTTTCTGGAGGATTAAATTGAAATTGCAACCAACTTTCTATGGCTTGTTTTGGAAATAGTGATATTTGGGAGATGATTTCCTTTTCAAATAACTGAAAGTGAGAGGTTGTAATCTGAATAATGGGGAAAAGGACATTCTTGAACATTGGGTGAGACAATCTTACTAATTTGCTAGAGAACCAATTCGGATTTAAGTATAACTTTTGTATGACTGAAGCTTTTAGTGATAGGTCTAATGCTTTAATATTTAATAATTTCTGTCCTCCGAATTCATATTCAATATATAAATAGGCCTGTTTAATTTTGTCTGGCATGCCATTCCAAATAAAATTGAATCTTTTTTTCTCATATAATTTAAAAAAAACTGTTCGCTAGGCGTAGGCAAGACCATAAGCAAATAGGTCAACTGGGATAATACTAAAGAGTTAATCAGGGTGATTTTTCCACAAATTGACAGGTATTTACCTTTCCATGGTAGCAAGATCATATCTATTTTTGCTAACTTTCTATTAAAATGTATTGGAGTGAGATCATTTATTTCCTTTGGGATATGTATTCTGAGTATATCCACATCAGAACCATCCACCATCAGACCATTTTATTGGTAAACTACATGGTAATGTAAAAAATGTATTTTTTTGTAATCCAATACGTAATATAGTACATTTGTCATAATTTGGTTGTAATCCAGAGAGGTTAGAAAATGTATCTAGATCCTCTATGAGGCTGTGGAGGGATTCAAGTTGTGGATTTCAAAGACCACATGAACCATCAGCGTACAATGATACCTTTGTTTTTAAGCCCTGGATTTCTAATCAACCTATAGGTTGTTATATAGAGGAAATTATAGGGGAAACCTGTTGGGAAGCACTTGTCAAGTCACATACACTCAATATCCCTCCGACCCTCTAATTATTTCCTTGATGGCAGACGGCTCTTTAAATGACTGGAGAGGTTGACACCGTATTTTCACCGTACTGCTGTGACCTCAATTCAGTAATTTCAATTCACTGTCACAATAGAGGAAAGGGGGTTAAAGAAAGGTGGCATTTTGGAGTATGGGTCTCACCCACCAGTGTACTCCACCTCTACATCAGCGAGGGCTTTCAGGGTGTTCTCATAGGAAACACTGGCCAGGTCCAGGGCCCCAACACAGTCGTACACCTTTTTGGTCTTGTCAATAAGCTCATCTGAGAGCTGATGGATCTGCTCGGGGGTCAGGTCCCAGCGCAGGCGGTTGTCAGCACACACTCGCGCACCACTGCCAGACGCCACCTCTCCTGTGGGGTGAAATAAGGAATGGTCACGAGTTGGATGGTTCGTCTTGGAAAAGGCCTACTAACTACTGAACCGTGAGGAAGTGTACACGTTATAAGGACATAGCTTGTTTCAGTATGGCGGCATGTGCTATAAACTATGCCTAGTTTGAGCATCAGCACTGCTCACGTGGTGAGAAGATACTGTGGCTGATGTACTATTAGATGTACAGTCAACACTACAGTTTTACACCCCATGAAAATACTAGCTAGCAACAGTTCCCTGTTGCCCTTAAACACTTGCAACCAATAGGCCGTATGCAAATGTCAACCCGTGATAGTAGTAATAGTGTTGACATTTCTACTATTTTATCTATGGAAACTATATATGTGGATGTGCATAGTAGTAGCTAATCCAGCGATACTTTGAGGTTCAGCACTGCTTACCTAACAAAATTAGCTAACGTTAGCTAGCTAACTATCGTTTAATTAATTAGGCGGCTGTCATCCTCCCTACTGAAAATCTAGCTAGCTAGCCAGTCAATGTAACAGAGGGCATTGTCAGTACTGCTGACGTAGCTTGTAGTTAGTTATATTGTAACATTTGGAAGGTTCAGGTTCATTATCAAAACGCGCCAGTGGGATTCTTGCCAACTTGTAATCGCGCCTTTTGATATATCTGGCTAGGTAGCTAGCTGAATGGGACGGATGCTGCACTGGATGTATGCTGTAGCTAGCTAACTAACAATCATTTTAGTGGGTGGCTAAGCTGGTTAGTTAGCTAGATAAGATGAACCTGCAGAGATGTGCTTGCTTGCTACAAACACAACATTTTAATAGCGTGCAATACATGTTCTGTTAAATAAGGTTAACGTTAGCTAACCAATTTAAATCAGCCACCACACTTGCAAGATAACTAACGTTAACGCGTTAGTGTTCAGAAAACCAGAAACCGTTAGCAAGTCCAGCACAGACTGACGATCGAATATGCAAAACGTTGAGTTTATTCATTTGACAATGAAGTGTTATAAAATAGCTAATGTAATTTGGATGAATTTCGTAAAGACTCACCTGTCGGTGCCATATTTCAGAAATCTGAGAAGCAACGTTCGCGGAGAGTTTTACAGTCTGTGGTTGACGATGCCAATACAGCGATTAGGGGTTTTGACAACTGAGGTTTCCACTAGTTATCACAGCCACAAAGTCAAAATTGGAGGCACGCACACTGAGGTAGGGATGCATGCTTCAGGCTTCGCAGTTATGACGTATAACACATGCGACGAAAGTCAACACCATTTTTGCTATCACCACCAGCTACTGCAAGGAACATCTGAAGCAAAGGCAACTGGTAAGTATAATTATTGCTAGCTAACATATTTGTATATATCTTATGTTGTGTGGCATAGCTAAACGTGCTTTAAACCACATAGCTATCTGTTGGTTGAGTAAATCAGGGTAAAGTGCTCAGAAAGCCTTTTGTTATTGGCGTCATGTCAGCAATGCTAAGCTAGCTATATAGCTACAAGCAAGAAACCCAGTTAGCCCTAGTTAAGTTATCCACGTAAGTTTAACCAGCTCCATTGCACGTAAGCAAGACTAGCTCGTCTGTTAATTTGGCAATACACGGAGGGCTTTCACATGGTAGGCCAATTTAGCTGTGTTAGCCGTATTAGCATTAGTTAGCAGCCGACCATAAGCAACTTGCTAGAACATTCTAGCTAGCTAGCAACGTCACCTGCCAAGTCAACATACTTACTAACAAGCTAGCTAGCTATTAGCCTAGGATTAAGAAACGAAACTATCTATAATCACAAACGGACTAAACGCCACTCCATGGTGAGCTTTAGTCCGATATTTAAACAGATGGTAACGTATAGGCTTTTTTGTTATAATGTATCCTCTAAATTACTGTTATAGCTACAATTAATCCCAACCAGTTGCAAGTTATTTACAATGGATATGTTTTTTTTAGACCTACAACATCATCTCATTATCTTTCTTTCTTCATCAGGGGCCCTCACAACACACATTCTACTGAGAGGTTTGGACCTCAATCCAAAATGACAGACACAAAGCGTCTTGCCATCTCCATCATTCAGTTTCTTCATGATCAACTGGGCTCTGGGAGTCTATCGTCAGATGCTCAGGAAAGTTTAGAAGGTACGTTGGGAAGCCAAGATTAATTCTGAGGGGATGGGTTCACACCCTATGTTGGACGATGGCCAGGGACTCAACTGTGTCCAGTCGGTGTCATTGCCTTTCCTCAACATCTGATTATTTTCCAGTTGCAGTCCAATGCCTGGAGACGGCCTTCGAGGTCTCGACCGACGACCAGACCCTATCTGTCACTCAAACATTACCAGAGATTTTTGCCTCTGCGACACAGAAGGTAGACTCAAAAGATGTCCACTTAATATGAAGGTGATTATGTGGTCAATAGCTTTTTGTCTCAGATGTGTTGACTGTCTGTTGCAGCATCCAGATACCCCCCAGGTGAAAATAAACACAGCCACAGATTCCCCCACTGAGGAGGAAGTAGCAGAGGCAGAGAGACTCAAAACTGACGGTAGGACCTCCCCTGTAATAGTTTGTGCATTACTCAGTCTTCACTTTCAGCTTAAGTATTTTATTAGGATCCCCATTAGCTACTGCTAAAGCAGTTGCTACTCTTCCTGAGGTCCACATAAAACATAACATATTATGGAACATTAATACACAAGAACAGCTCAAGGACAGAACTACATTCTTTAAAATAAGATTACACATTTTCATAAACTTATACCTTAACATTCCATGCATCGTGTACTCATAATTAAATTTACATTTACGTCATTTAGCAGACGCTCTTATCCAGAGCGACTTACAAATTGGTGCATTCACCTTATAGCCAGTGGGACAACCACTTTACAATATGTTTATTTTTTTCTCTGGGGTGGGGTAAGGGGGGGTAGAAGGATTACTTTATCCTATCCCAGGTATTCCTTAAAGAGGTGGGGTTTCAAGTGTCTCCGGAAGGTGGTGAGTGACTCCGCTGTCCTGGCGTCGTGAGGGAGCTTGTTCCACCATTGGGGTGCCAGAGCAGCGAACAGTTTTGACTGGGCTGAGCGGGAACTGTGCTTCCGCAGAGGTAGGGAGGCCAGAGGTGGATGAACGCAATGCCCTCGTTTGGGTGTAGGGACTGATCAGAGCCTGAAGGTACGGAGGTGCCGTTCCCCTCACAGCTCCGTAGGCAAGCACCATGGTCTTGTAGCAGATGCGAGCATCAACTGGAAGCCAGTGGAGTGTGCAGAGGAGCGGGGTGACGTGAGAGAACTTGGGAAGGTTGAACACCAGACGGGCTGCGGCATTCTGGATGAGTTGTAGGGGTTTAATGGCACAGGCAGGGAGCCCAGCCAACAGCGAGTTGCAGTAATCCAGACGGGAGATGACAAGTGCCTGGATTAGGACCTGTGCCGCTTCCTGTGTAAGGCAGGGTCGTACTCTCCGAATGTTGTAGAGCATGAACCTACAGGATCGGGTCACCGCCTTGATGTTAGCGGAGAACGACAGGGTGTTGTCCAGGGTCACGCCAAGGCTCTTCGCACTCTGGGAGGAGGACACAACGGAGTGGAAAGGCTATACTGCAGCAATTCATTTCCCCCATACATTTTACATTTTAGTTATTTAGCAGACGCTCTTATCCAGAGCGACTTACAGTTAGTGAGTGCATACATTTTTTCATACTGGCCCCCCGTGGGAAACGAACCCACAACCCTGGCGTTGCAAGCGCCATGCTCTACCAACTGTAGCTCTAGTGCTACAACTGCTTTCTGTAAGCCGGCCCTGATATTCTTCTCACAGCTCCAGTGTTCTGTCAACACCAGAAAGAATCTCACAACATCAGGAAGACTCATGATAAAATAATAGCAACAATCCCTGTCCTTGGTCTGTATACCTTCAGCAGTCTGACTCCAATATTATCAACAGATATGAACATTGAGTCTAAGATCCTCAACTTAGTACAAACACACTGGCAGAATCATGTGTTTACCATCTGTGTCATTGGTCCTTCCATCTGACGTCAATACTATGCATAATCATGTGATGCAAAGATGCTATTGAATGTAAACGCGACAAATGGAGATGTGAAGTTCCACAAAAGTCGTTCCATCCTGCTCAGTTCCCCTGATGTGAACAGATCCACATATCATATGGAGCGTTGCGCTCCCTCTAAAGTTTCCCTGATGTGAACTTAGCTCTCTTCATATGTAATGTTAAGAGCTGTTTGTAGGCCTATAATATTTGTATTTTCTTTATGGCAGGCAATGATAAAATGAAGGTTGAGAAATTTGGGGCAGCTGTGGAATTCTACTCAAAGGCTATTGCCATAAACCCCCGGAATGCAGTTTACTACTGCAACAGGTATTGACCAACACACTCTTAAACTTGGAGGACTCTGTGACTATTAGTCACAAATTGTGTATGTCCAAATGCAAATTTTGTGGATATTCACGCATGTGTGCAGCTTTAGTAAAGCAATAAAAATGTATTCACGCTTTTGTTTTTATGTGAAGTACTGCTAATTGTATGGACTTGTTTTTGCTAGGGCTGCTGCATACAGCAAACTAGGCAACTACGCTGGAGCAGTTCAGGACTGTGAACTTGCCATTGGGATTGACCCAAACTACAGCAAAGCATATGGAAGAATGGGGTAGGTTAGACCCTAGCGTTCAATGTTACCGTGGACATGGGCCACTGTGTTGCTGCTTTGTTATTGACTGATGATTGAACATACATTGACTTCAAACGTCCCATGCTTCCAGGTTGGCTCTAGCCAGTTTAAACAAACACACAGAATCTGTAGGTTATTACAAGAAAGCCCTGGAGTTGGACCCAGAGAACGACACCTACAAATCCAACCTGAAAATAGCAGAGCAGAAAATGGAGACTCCAAGCCCAGTAAGTTGATTACATCTCAACCACTATGGAGAATACATAATATATAATTGTTGATCGTGTTATTTTTTTTTTTTTTTCAGACAGGAGGAATGGGAGGAGTTGATCTGGCTGGTTTGCTCAGTAACCCTGGTTTCATGAACATGGTGAGTTCCATGAAAGCTGTAATATGTAACTTTTTGGGCGACCTGACCAAATTCAAATAGACATGCAGTGAGGGAAAAAAGTATTTGATCCCCTGCTGATTTTGTACGTTTGCCCACTGACAAAGAAATGAGCAGTCTATAATTTTAATGGTAGGTTTATTTGAACAGTGAGAGACAGAATAACAACAACAAAATCCAGAAAAACGCATGTCAAAAATGTTATAAATTGATTTGCATTTTAATGAGGGAAATAAGTATTTGACCCCTCTGCAAAACATGACTTAGTACTTGGTGGCAAAACCCTTGTTGGCAATCACAGAGGTCAGACGTTTCTTGTAGTTGACCACCAGGTTTGCACACATCTCAGGAGGGATTTTGTCCCACTCCTCTTTGCAGATCTTCTCCAAGTCATTAAGGTTTCGAGGCTGACGTTTGGCAACTCGAACCTTCAGCTCCCTCCACAGATTTTCTATGGGATTAAGGTCTGGAGACTGGCTAGGCCACTCCAGGACCTTAGTGTGCTTCTTCTTGAGCCACTCCTTTGTTGCCTTGGCCTTGTGTTTTGGGTCATTGTCATGCTGGAATACCCATCCACGACCCATTTTCAATGCCCTGGCTGAGGGAAGGAGGTTCTCACCCAAGATTTGACGGTACAAGGCCCCGTCCATCGTCCCTTTGATGCGGTGAAGTTGTCCTGTCCCCTTAGCAGAAAAACACCCCCAAAGCATAATGTTTCTACCTCCATGTTTGACGGTGGGGATGGTGTTCTTGGGGTCATAGGCAGCATTCCTCCTCCTCCAAACACGGTGAGTTGAGTTGATGCCAAAGAGCTCCATTTTGGTCTCATCTGACCACAACACTTTCACCCAGTTCTCCTCTGAATCATTCAGATGTTCATTGGCAAACTTCAGACGGGCATGTATATGTGCTTTCTTGAGCAGGGGGACCTTGCGGGCGCTGCAGGATTTCAGTCCTTCACGGCGTAGTGTGTTACCAATTGTTTTCTTGGTGACTATGGTCCCAGCTGCCTTGAGATCATTGACAAGATCCTCCCGTGTAGTTCTGGGCTGATTCCTCACCGTTCTCATGATCATTGCAACTCCACAAGGTGAGATCTTGCATGGAGCCCCAGGCCGAGGGAGACCGTTATTTTGTGTTTCTCCCATTTGCATATAATCGCACCAACTGTTGTCACCTTCTCACCAAGCTGCTTGGCGATGGTCTTGTAGCCCATTCCAGGCTTGTGTAGGTCTACAATCTTGTCCCTGACATCCTTGGAGAGCTCTTTGGTCTTGGCCATGGTGGAGAGTTTGGAATCTGATTGATTGATTGCTTCTGTGGACAGGTGTCTTTTATACAGGTAACAAGCTGAGATTAGGAGCACTGCCTTTAAGAGTGACTTACCTGTATAAAAGAAACCTGGGAGACAGAAATCTTTCTGATTGAGGGGGTCAAATACTTATTTCCCTCATTAAAATGCAAATCAATTTATAACATTTTTGACATGCGTTTTTCTGGATTTTACCATTACCATTAAAATTATAGACTGATCATTTTTTTGTCAGTGGGCAAACGTACAAAATCAGCAGGGGATCAAATACTTTTTCCCCCCACTGTATGAGTTATAGATCTGTCATTCTCATTGAAAGCAAGTCTAAAAAGCAGTAGATATGTTCTATGTGCGCTATTTCTGTGCTTCCCATTCTTACATTTCATTTTTGCGTCTTTTACTTTAGGTTTTGTACACCAGCTTCAAAAAGCTGAAAATACTATATTTTTGGTTATGGAAAATATATTTCACAGCGGTGTAGATGGTACAATGATTCTCTACACTATACTTGCTTGTTTTGTCACAAACTGAAATTAGGCGACCTATAAGAATTTTAGCACCCATAAAATGGCGGTGCGATTTCTTCACAGTGCACCGTTAACTAAAACAAAGAAGGGCTCCTATTGGTAGATGGGTAAAATAAAGAAGATATTGAATATCCCTTTGAGCATGGTGAATTTATTAATTACACACTGGATGGTGTATCAATACACCCAGTCACTACAAAGATACAGGCAAACTTCCTAACTCAGTTTCCAGAGAGGAAGGAAACCGCTCAGATTTCACCATGAGGCCAATGGTGACTTTAAAACAGTTACAGAGTTTAATGGCTGTGATAGGAGAAAACACCACAATACTAACCTAATTAACAGAGTGAAAAGAAGGAAGCCTGTACAGAATAAAAATATTCACAAACATGCATGTGGTCCTCTGTAGCTCAGCTGGTAGAGCACGGCGCTTATAACGCCAAGGTAGTGGGTTCGATCCCCGGGACCACCCATACACAAAAAAAAAATGTATGCACGCATGACTGTAAGTCGCTTTGGATAAAAGCGTCTGCTAAATGGCATATTATTATTATATTATATTATGCATCCTGTTTGCAACAAGGCACTAAAGTAATACTGCAATAAATGTGGTAAAGCAATTTAGATTTTTGTCCTGAATACAAAGTGTTATGTTTGGGACAAATCCAATACAACGCATTACTGAGTACCACACTCCATATTTTCAAGCATAATGGTGGCTGCATCATGTTATGGGTGTGCTTGTAATCATGGTTCAGTCTGCTTTCCACCAGACACTGGGAGATTAATTCACCTTTCAGCAGGACAATAACCTAAAACACAAGGCCAAATCTACACTGGAGTTGCTTACCAAGACAGTGAATGTTCCTGAGTGGTCGATTTACAGTTTTGACTTAAATCTATGGCAAGACCTGAAAATGGTTGTCTAGCAATGATCAACAACCAATTTAACCAATTTGACAGAGCTTGAATAATTTTTAGAAGAATGATGGGCAAAAGTTGCACAATACAGGTGTGGAAAGCTCTTAGAGACTTGCCCAGAAAGACTCACAGCTGCATTTGCTGCCAAAGGTGCTTCTACAAAGTATTGACTCAGGGGTGTGAATACTTATGTCAATTAGATATTTCTGTATTTCATTTTCAATAAATGTGCAGACATTTCTAAAAACATGTTTTCAATGAGTTTCCCACTAGTAATTATTAGTTGGAGGGGCGTTCAACTGGATTTTTCCCAGTTGTATGCTCGTATTTATGAATTGATGAGATGTCATGAACACAGCATATGTAGAAAAGGTTTACCAAATTAGAAATCGTATTGACATTGTTACGGCTGCTTTGTCCTAGGCATCCGGTTTGATGAACAACCCACAAGTACAGCAACTGTAAGTTATCCATTAATTGTCTATCAAATATATATTTTTTTTTAGATGTAGCACAAGGACTTTGTAAATGAGATTCCACAATTACTTGTGAAATGTAGGGAGCTTTTAAAGTAAATGCATGTAGAGAATATACCACCTTTCTTGTCTGTGTTGTACAGGATGTCGGGGATGATGTCAGGGGCTTACGGGCCAATGGGAGCTCCAGCAGCGCCTGGAATAGGGCCTGGGTTAGGAGCCGGACCAGGGTTAGGGTTAGGAGCCGGACCGGCAGCAGGAGTTGGAGTAGGGGGAGCGGGACCAGGTGACATCTCTGGTCTCATCCAAGCGTAAGTCTACCACCAGCTCTACTCAGTCTGTGCCAAATAGTACTTGTATATTGTATTATACCCATGGCATCAGTGATAAAGACATGAAAGCATTTAACATCTGTGAGTATTAATAAAATGCATTGATTCAATGCATTCATGTTTTTGTGACTTGTACTTGGTAACTGCCATTCCATCACCTCGCTGTGTCCATGTCCATTTAGGGGCCAACAATTTGCACAGCAGATGCAACAGCAGAACCCAGAGCTAATTGAACAGCTGAGGAGTCAAATTCACAGCCGGACACCTAGCGGTAGCAACGAAGAGCAACCTTGACCCTCAGATGGGTAAGATTAACATTTTTAAATGGTTATGGGTTGGTCCATGTATCGTAGAGTCGTACTGGGTTGTTTTTGCAATGTGTTTTTTGTTCACCTTTACAAAGTGCACATGTAGAGCTAATCATAAAATGGTCTGATCTCCCTTTTCTGACAGAGGAAGATTTGCGTGTGGAAAAGAGAAGAGATGCTGTCCTTTTTTTTAAATCTCCCAACTCCATGGACAAAAAGCTTTATCACTGAGTAGTTATTGCATGTGTGCTCCGCCCCCGTCTTAAAGGAAACTGATCAACAAAACCTTGCAGAGATGATGAAATTTGATAAACCTGTTGTCAACAGATATCTAGTCCGAAGTGTCTGGATTGATTGGGGTGTCACATCAGTTGCACTGCAATGTCACACCAGTGTAGCACTTGGTTTAGGTGTTTAATGTTACTAATTCCTGCCAGTGGACTGTTGTCATTTAGTCCCCCCAGTGGACTAAATGCAGCTGCATCACTTGAGCTTTGTCAGTTCAGGTACACAGAAACACCTTGAGATTATTATGCGATAATACAGTTCAGCAGCCATATACATTTTGAGAAGCATCTATTTGTACAGAGAAATACTGCTTGCAGGGATGGTATCTAGAGTACTGTCAACATTATGGGAATTTAAATTGAGCATTTCAAATAGGACCTATTTGTGTCCTCTGTAATCCAGGAGTTGTTTAAGCATTATACACTTATTTTGTAATGGGTATGTCAGTGTTACACTGTTTTTGTTTTTTCTAACATGGGTGGCTGACGTTTTTGTTCACAATCTTTGATTAAATCATACTGATAAATTAGCCTAACATGTTTGCTTGATTTTAAACCTATTTGTTATCTATTTCAACTCAGGAAATAAATTGAAATTAAATTGATGAATTGGAAATTCCATTTAGAAAATATTAGTGAATTGAAATTATTTATTTGACTTGACTGAAGATGGAATTGACCCCACACTGAAACATAAAGCTAAAAGCTGCATTGCATTGATGATATTGATGCATTTAGCACACAAAAAAAAGAAGTAAACTCCGGAGTTTAAATGTAATACATTTACAGCAGAGAAACCTTAGTCAACTGGAGACCTCAGTTTACAAAAGCCCTTTCCACAAAACATCATCACTTAGCTCATGGCAAGCTTTTGCCGCGTTCAAAACAACTGGGAACTCGTAAATCTCCAACTTCAGTGTGTTCAAGACAACTGGGAACTCGCGTAAAAAAACGAGCTCTTACTGGGAAAATCGTTTGGAATGGTCATCCAACTCGGAATTCCAAGTCGGAGACTCTGGCATCTTTCTACAACCAAAGATTATGGATATACTAATAAGATGCATGTCTCTCCGCCCTAACAATGGGGGGAGTCATCCACAAAGCAGCACGGATGTCTAGCGCCCACCTATCCTTTCTTTGGATTGGTGGATACATCTCATTATTGTAATCATGTTTTAATACTCTATAGACTAATTTCATGAATATGCATAGCCATCGCGAGACAACTTCGCTATAGTGTTTTCTCAACGTTGCCGGGATGTCACGTGTCCTATTTATATCAGTACACAACTTAAGCATTACGAAACCTCTATTCGATCAAATAAGCCATTAATTGTTTTGTTGACCAAATTCGACACTCATTGGCCTCCATACTAAAACGCCTTGCTTGGTGGGCGAAACAACGAAAAACCTCCTCCTGCTGGAGGGTGGAGGGAGACCGATTGTCCGCCGAGTTGGGCGGTCATGGCTAAAAGGAACACAGATTTTGTAAAAGTTACGTCATAGTCCGGTTCACTACAACAAGTGCGTCTTACACAGCGTCGAGTTCTACAGCAGACTACTTGATTTCCACAGAATCACTTGCTGGCTAGCTACAATTCACCAATAAATATACACTGCTCAAAAAAATAAAGGGAACACTTAAACAACACAATGTAACTGCAAGTCAATCACACTTCTGTGAAATCAAACTGTCCACTTAGGAAGCAACAATGATTGACAAATTTCACATGCTGTTGTGCAAATGGAATAGACAACAGGTGGAAATTATAGGCAATTAGCAAGACACCCCCAATAAAGGAGTGGTTCTGCAGGTGGTGACCACAGATCACTTCTCAGTTCCTATGCTGCCTGGCTGATGTTTTGGTCACTTTTGAATGCTGGCGGTGCTTTCACTCTAATGGTACCATGAGATGGAGTCTACAAGCAGGGATGTCCACACAAGTGGCTCAGGTAGTGCAGCTCATCCAGGATGGCACATCAATGCGAGCTGTGGCAAGAAGGTTTGCTGTGTCTGTCAGCGTAGTGTCCAGAGCATGGAGGCGCTACCAGGAGACAGGCCACTACATCAGGAGACGTGGAGGAGGCCGTAGGAGGGCAACAACCCTCCTACAGCCCAACACCGTGCAGGACGTTTGGCATTTGCCAGAGAACACCAAGATTGGCAAATTCGCCACTGGCGCCCTGTGCTCTTCACAGACGAAAGCAGGTTCACACTGAGCACATGTGACAGACGTGACAGAGTCTGGAGACGCCGTGGAGAACTTTCTGCTGCCTGCAACATCCTCCAGCATGACCGGTTTGGCGGTGGATCAGTCATGGTGTGGGGTGGCATTTCTTTGGGGGTGCCGCACAGCCCTCCATGTGCTCGCCAGAGGTAGCCTGACTGCCATTAGGTACCGAGATGAGATCCTCAGACCCCTTGTGAGACCATATGCTGGTGCGGTTGGCCCTGGGTTCCTCCTAATGCAAGACAATGCTAGACCTCATGTGGCTGGAGTGTCAGCAGTTCCTGCAAGAGGAAGGCATTGATGCTATGGACTGGCCCGCACGTTCCCAAGACCTGAATCCAATTGAGCACATCTGGGACATCATGTCTCGCTCCACCCACCAACGCCACGTTGCACCACAGACTGTCCAGGAGTTGGCGGATGCTTTAGTCCAGGTCTGGGAGGAGATCCCTCAGGAGACCATCCACCACCTCATCAGGAGCATGCCCAGGCGTTGTAGGGAGGTCATACAGGCACGTGGAGGCCACACACACTACTGAGCCTCATTTTGACTTGTTTTAAGGACATTACATCAAAGTTGGATCAGCCTGTAGTGTGGTTTTCCACTTTAATTTTGAGGGTGACTCCAAATCCAGACCTCCATGGGTTGATAATTTGATTTCCATTGATCATTTTTGTGTGATTTTGTTGTCAGCACATTCAACTATGTAAAGAAAAAAGTATTTAATAAGATTATTTCATTCATTCAGATCTAGGATGTGTTGTTTAAGTGTTCCCTTTATTTTTTTGAGCAGTGTACTATTCCTGATGCACCTCTATCTATGTCCGCGCGAGTGGAGCAGACGGGACTATGACGTCACTTTCACAAAATCGGTATTCCTTCTAGCCATGACTGAGTTTGAGCCTCTTCCACTTGTTTAAAAAAAAAAATTTGTTTTTAAAATATTTTTGTGTGTGTTTTTTTGGTGTACTTTTTACCTCATTTTCGTCTTTCCGACCTGAAGATCACTGACGTCATGATTTTACCCAGTTGTCTTGAAAGCATCTCCACCAATCAGAAACGTTTTCGTCGTGTGAACAGGAAGTGTCACGAGAACGAGGAAAAAGCTGTGAAAGGTCAGTGTAGAGCTATTTCATATTCCTCGTCGAAAAGCTCGATAGAAATGATTATATACGTTTCAGCTGCTGGAGAAGCTTGCAATGTGACGCAAATGAATATTAATGATAACTAGCATCCCCTTAGAAAGCTGTGTTTATCAACTGGTCGCCCCGATAATTTGCTAATGTTATGTTAATATGCCATTTATGTTGACATGCGTGCTAGTTTAGCTATAAGGGTATTTTTTGTAAACTACGGTACCAGTGAGGATTTCCTACGGTGGACAACTTTGTTACAGCTGTTGATAAATCATTGATAATAATATGCTAATTATTTTCATGTCATTTCATTAAGATATAAGTGGGGTACATAGCAATATTTTTTTAAAAAAAGTCACGAGTTGATTTTAAAACCTATGATTAACCAATTCTCATGGTTGGTGTCTTAAAACATTACTTTTCTGTCCTTGCATTTATGGCAGTGTAAATTGTAGTTGTATCATATATTAAGCAATAATCAGTTAAATTAGACATTCAACTTGAACCGTGTAAGAATCCTGAATCTAGCTCTCGGACTGTTTTTTTGTATAGAGATCTCAGATCTCTCAAAAAAAATGTATGTGATTGCAAAATCGAATGCTTCTAACCGAAAGAGTCACTACGTTGATACTTAAAAACTAAATCGATACTGTCATTAACGTGGTTCTTCAATAATTATGCATAATACTTGTAGGATTTGCATTTGGTGTCGAGCTGTTTAAGCCGTGATAGTCTATCCTTTTTTCACACGTCATCATTTGATCCAGAAGGAATTTTCTGAATGACAGTCAAGTGACGAACAGCTGTTATGATGGTGCATGCGATGCAACAGCAGACACAGCCCAAGTGCTTGAAAAAAGGTGTTCGCGAGGAATGTCCAGAATATATTGGTCTATTCATTAAACTGATGAAGACAGTTGTGCCTGGGTCCCCCATTGGATATAATGACAACAAATGACATAGCCTAGTGGGCTTCTTCACAATACGATCTGGTCCTCTGTAGCTCAGCTGGTAGAGCACGGCGCTTGTAACGCCAAGGTAGTGGGTTCGATCCCCGGGACCACCCATACACAAAAATGTATGCACGCATGACTGTAAGTCGCCTTGGATAAAAGCGTCTGCTACATTTACATTAAATTTTTGTCATTTAGCAGACGCTCTTATCCAGAGCGACTTACAGTTAGTGAATGCATACATGTTTATTTTATTTTTTCATACTGGCCCCCCGTGGGAATCGAACCCACAACCCTGGCGTTGCAAACGCCATGCTCTACCAACTGAGCTACATCCCTGCTAAATTGCATATTATTATGACAAATACATTTTGGTTTCCATGTTACACCTGTAATTTAAAACCATAGGTCTACATTAGGCCCTATATGTGCAATTATGTAAATTATTCAATTGTATAACATTGAGGTCCTTGAAAATTACAATAAGTGCTTGAAAAAGTCATTGAATTTGACTTACCAATACCTGTATGAATCCTGTTTAAAGGATGTATAGTCTTAGGCCTATGTTGTTGTATAGGTGGAGTTATGGGCCAGTTTGCATATATTCCTCTAAGTACACATGTGGAACTGCATAAAAAACATTTTTATTTTTGTTTCAAACCATTTAGAAATGTGTATCCAAATGTCACACATGGCCCCATTAATTTATTTAAAGACCCATAATCACAAATTGTTTAAGGTTATGTTTTGTCTGATCTGTACATAGCCTATTCATAGATGTTAACTCTAGCTTCTCTTCACGGAGGTATCTTCCGTCCAGGTTTTTTTTTTTACGAGCCTTGCTCGGTCTGGACGTTATCAAGCATCACTTGCAATACAGTTTTGGAAACATAAGGACCTTATCTTTCATGTCAGCGAGAAATAATAATACTTTTTTAAAAAAAGGTTGCATTAATACACACCTTTTATAAGGTTAGGTTCCCTCACGGCCATATTTCCATTTTACAGCGCTTATTTACTAAAGACAGGCGGAATACAGAGGCGACCACCTGTGCTTGTAAGCTATCTAGCGTTCTCCAAACACCTGTGGATGCCAGAAAAGTGTTGTAACTGAAAAACACTTGAGTTCTCGAGCAAATCTGTACATAGATATGCTTGGTATGCAATATTAAAGATTATACTAGATCTGGGAGATACACCGGAAATGATCGACACCAATCACTTATCGCAGGCATTTTGCTGATATCGTTCATTACGATAAGTAGCCTATACTAAAGAAATGTGAAGTTTAAAATGAAATACGTTTGCTAATATGGGTGATTGTTAATGGGATATTATAAAACATTTTTATAAACGTATCGTTCTATTTATCGTTACGCATAACTTCAGGCAATTTATTGCAATATGGATTTTTGTCCATATTGCCCAGCTATATATTATTCTTTGCAACATTCAAGATTGCACATCTAGCTATCACAGCTGTGATCATGTTGAATCAAACCAGTCAACAAGCTTATCATATTAGCTTAGTTAAATGATAGCTAGCTGGCTGTTCTAGTTTCTGACTGACTGTCATGAAATAAAACTAAAAGTTTACCTAATTTGTTTGCACATCTTTGACATTTTTCTTTTTAATTTGTTGCTCATGTCACAGCTGGAATTGTCTCTTGGACCAGGATGACAAGACCACTCTCTGTGACCTGACAGAGAAAAGGAGGAGAAGAGGCTTTGAGGATTATGTGCCATTCATATTACTGAGTAATACCATATCTGGACATAATGGAGCTAGTAGTGGCCAAGGTCCTTTGCCTTCTGGGGGTGTTTGCTCTTATGTTGGCTGGGATTCTTGTCCCAGTGCGCCTGATGATGCAGGTGGACTATGAGAAAGCCCAAAGCTACAGGAAGGCTCTTGCACTCTGCAATTCTTTTGGAGGTGGTGTATTTCTGGCCACTTGCTTCAATGCTCTTTTGCCAGCAGTAAGAAACAAGGTAGGTAGCCATGTCTTACCAGAAGAGAACCGTCGCGCTCTCCAAGAGGCTTGGCTGGTGTGTAAAACCTGTCAATTCAGTCAAACAAAGAGGTGTAATGGGTTCGCACTCAAGAAGATGTCGCATAAAGCTTACTTAATTATTCAATGTTTTCAATTAATTTCACTGCTTTACAGCCTTCTTCAGTGTGTAAGTCTAAAATGTTGGTTGGTTTGATTGATTGATAAAATATCTTACTGTGTTGCCCCCTCCCATAGCCTTTCATTAACCAGTAGAAAACAGATAATTCAGTCTACATTCATTCCTGTTAGATTATGGCGATATTATATACATTAATGCAGCTACCAGTGTTTTGAAGCCCTTGGACACAATATATCGTAGCGCACTTTGTTTTATAACATCTGATAGTTTTGACACTCACCACTGCATCCTTTATCATAAAGTTGGTTGGACCTCGCCAAAAAAACACGTAGGTCACTTAATTATTCTGTTTTTGTTTATAAAGCCTTACTCAATAAACTACCAATTTACTTAACATTATTGTTGAAATATAGAAACTCGGATTACAACACTAGATCACAGGGTTGGTTAATGCTGGAGACTCCACGTGTATCCACAGAGTTGGGTAAATCTGCCTTTTCCTACCAGGCCCCTATCTTGTGGAATAATCTCCAAGTAACGTTTCATTTGGATGTGTTGTTGTCTCAGGGTCAGTTTAGGAGAAAGGCTAGGGATTTTTACATTGATAAATGTGTTTGTTTTGTTTGATTGTTTGTGTATATAATATTTGCTATTTATTTAATTTTGTGTATTAAATAGAGTATAATTTTATTTTCTGTATTGTTCCCAGGGCACATTTGCAAATGAGACCTAGGTCTCAATGTGTTTTTCCCTGGTTAAATAAATAAAATAAAATAGTCAGGCTCTCAGAAGCAGTTTGGAAGAAAGAAGCCCTGTTGAGAAGCCACTCCAATATATTCCGACAACCACTTTGCTGTTGTAGAATAGAAGTAGAATGTTTATATGCTGATGTTAATTTACTGAGTGTTGTTTCTTTAGGTGGATGAGGTCCTTAAGCTGGTGAATATAACCACAGACTACCCCCTGGCAGAGACCATGATGATGCTGGGCTTCTTCCTCACAGTCTTTGTGGAGCAGGCAGTGCTCACCTTCAAGAAGGAAAAGCCATCATTCATCAACCTGGAGACCTTTAACGCAGGGGTCTCCGAGGCTGGGAGCGACTCTGAGTACGACACCCCATTCATTTCTCCCACTCGGGGCTCCCCTGTGGGCCACCACCATGGGCATCACCACGGACACCTCAGCCCCACTGAGATGGCCAGAGCTGGGCCTCTGCGGCTGGCCAGCCTGGTCCTGGCTCTCTCTGCCCATTCTGTGTTCGAGGGGCTGGCCCTGGGCCTCCAGGAGGATGGGGCCAAGCTGGGAAGCCTCTTCTTGGGGGTGGGCATCCACGAGACCCTGGCCGCCGTGGCTCTGGGGGTGAGTGTGGCCAAAGCTGCTTTGCCCATGAGGGATGCCATCAAGCTCGGTGTAACGGTCAGCCTCATGATTCCCATTGGCATCGGACTGGGCATGGGCATCAATAGTGCCCAAAACCTGGCAGGCAGTATTGCCTCTGTGGTGCTCCAAGGCCTGGCTGCTGGGACTTTCCTCTTTGTCACCTTCTTTGAGATCCTGTCTCGGGAGCTGGAGGATAAACATAACAGACTGCTAAAGGTGCTCTTTCTTATACTGGGCTATGGGGTACTAGCAGGCCTAATGTTCATCAAGTGGTGATGGACAGAAGAGGCCTTTTTAATGCACTGAGATGTCGATGAGGATCTTACTGGCCACACTTTGCATTGTGCACACCAACACTACCAAAGTAAACTTTTTTGGTTTTGGTAAAGGGGTGTGGTAAATCAAGTTTAATTGTTTTTTTCTTTGCATTTACACTGGAACATGTTTGCTTACTTATTAAGGCTACGTTACTGTTTTAGTTTCTGCCATAGGGAATACTCCATGTTCCTGCCATTGAGTAGTAATGGTAAAGTGAGTCACTTTGACAGGATACTTTTGTATACGTTGCCAGACACAGGATTAAAACTCATGTAGAGATATCAGGATAAGTACTCCATAGCATTTCAAGTAAAGACACTGTTGTCTTATTGGCATTTTGCAAGACGAGTGAAGTGATAACCTACTTATAACATAAAGGAAACATTTTAATGAAGAACATTTATAAGAATACTACTTGCAGTGATATGTAACAAATGTAAACATATTGATGTTTGTGGTTGAACGATAATGTTATAATGGTGGTTATTATGCAGTGGTGCATATTTGAAGTGCTGTTCATGTTTTCCCCTGTCTGGTCTATACCTGCTGTTTCCATGGTCAGTATGCTATTTGTAAATACAGTTGGAAGTCGGAAGTTTACATACACTTAGGTTGGAGTCATTAAAACTCATTTTTCAACCACTCCACACATTTCTTGTTAACAAATTATAGTTTTGGCAAGTCGGTTAGGACATCTACTTTGTGCATGACACAAGTAGTTTTTCCAAAAATTGTTTACAGACAGATTATTTCACTTATAATTCACTGTATCACAATTCCAGTGGGTCAGAAGTTTACATACACTAAGTTGACTGTGCCTTTAAACAGCTTGGAACATTCCAGAAAATGATGTCATGGCTTTAGAAGCTTCTAATAGGCTAATTGACATAATTTAAGTCAATTGGAGGTGTACCTGTGGATGTATTTCAAGGCCTACCTTCAAACTCAGTGCCTCTTTGCTTGACATCATGGGAAAATGAAAAGAAATCAGGCAACACCTCAGAAAAAAAACTGTAGACCTCCACAAGTCTGGTTCATCCTTGGGAGCGATTTACAAATGTTTAAGGTCCTACTTTCATCTGTACAAACAATAGTACGCAAGTATAAACACCATGGGACCACGCAGCCGTCATACCGCTCAGGAAGGAGACGCGTTCTGTCTCCTAGAGATTAACGTACTTTGGTGCGAAAAGTGCAAATCAATCCCAGAACAACAGCAAAGGACCTTGTGAAGATGCTGGAGGAAACAGGTACAAAAGTATCTATATCCACAGTAAAACGGGTCCTATATCGACATAACCGGAAAGGCCGCTCAGCAAGGAAGAAGCCACTGCTCCAAAACCGCCATAAAATAGCCAGACTATGGTTTGCAACAGCACATGGGGACAAAGATCGTACTTTTTGGAGAAATGTCCTCTGGTCTGATGAAACAAAAATAGAACTGTTTGGCCATAATGACCATCGTTATGTTTGGAGGAAAAAGGGGGCTGCTTGCAAGCCGAAGAACACCATCCCAACCGTGAAGCACGGGGGTGGCAGCATCATGCTGTGGGGGTGCTTTGCTGCAGGAGAGACTGGTGCACTTCACAAAATAGATGGCATCATGAGGAAGGAAAATGTACAGTGGGGGAAAAAAAATATTTAGTCAGCCACCAATTGTGTAAGTTCTCCCACTTAAAAAGATGAGAGAGGCCTGCAATTTTCATCATAGGTACACGTCAACTATGACAGACAAAATGAGAAGAAAAAAATCCAGAAAATCACATTTTAGGATTTTTAATGAATTTATTTGCAAATTATGGTGGAAAATAAGTATTTGGTCAATAACAAAAGTTTCTCAATACTTTGTTATATACCCTTTGTTGGCAATGACACAGGTGAAACGTTTTCTGTAAGTCTTCACAAGGTTTTCACACACTGTTGCTGGTATTTTGGCCCATTCCTCCATGCAGATCTCCTCTAGAGCAGTGATGTTTTGGGTCTGTCGCTGGGCAACACAGACTTTCAACTCCCTCCAAAGATTTTCTATGGGGTTGAGATCTGGAGACTGGCTAGGCCACTCCAGGACCTTGAAATGCTTCTTACGAAGCCACTCCTTCGTTGCCCGGGCGGTGTGTTTGGGATCATTGTCATGCTGAAAGACCCAGCCACGTTTCATCTTCAATGCCCTTGCTGATGGAAGGAGGTTTTCACTCAAAATCTCACGATACATGGCCCCATTCATTCTTTCCTTTACACAGATCAGTCGTCCTGGTCCCTTTGCAGAAAAACAGCCCCAAAGCATGATGTTTCCACCCCCATGCTTCACAGTAGGCATGGTGTTCTTTGGATGCAACTCAGCATTCTTTGTCCTCCAAACACGACGAGTTGAGTTTTTACCAAAAAGTTATATTTTGGTTTCATCTGACCATATGACATTCTCCCAATCCTCTTCTGGTTCATCCAAATGCACTCTAGTAAACTTCAGACGGGCCTGGACATGTACTGGCTTAAGCAGGGGGACACGTCTGGCACTGCAGGATTTGAGTCCCTGGCGGCGTAGTGTGTTACTGATGGTAGGCTTTGTTACTTTGGTCCCATCTCTCTGCAGGTCATTCACTAGGTCCCCCCGTGTGGTTCTGGGATTTTTGCTCACCGTTCTTGTGATCATTTTGACCCCACGGGGTGAGATCTTGCGTGGAGCCCCAGATCGAGGGAGATTATCAGTGGTCTTGTATGTCTTCCATTTCCTAATAATTGCTCCCACAGTTGATTTCTTCAAACCAAGCTGCTTACCTATTGCAGATTCAGTCTTCCCAGCCTGGTGCAGGTCTACAATTTTGTTTCTGGTGTCCTTTGACAGCTCTTTGGTCTTGGCCATAGTGGAGTTTAGAGTGTGACTGTTTGAGGTTGTGGACAGGTGTCTTTTTATACTGATAACAAGTTCAAACAGGTGCCATTAATACAGGTAACGAGTGGAGGACAGAGGAGCCTCTTAAAGAAGAAGTTACAGGTCTGTGAGAGCCAGAAATCTTGCTTGTTTGTAGGTGACCAAATACTTATTTTCCACCATAATTTGCAAAATAATTAATTAAAAATCCTACAATGTGATTTTTCTGGATTTTTTTTCTCTCAATTTGTCTGTCATAGTTGACGTGTACCTATGATGAAAATTACAGGCCTCTCTCATCTTTTTAAGTGGGAGAACTTGCACAATTGGTGGCTGACTAAATACTTTTTCCCCCCACTGTATGTGGATATAGTGAAGTAATATCTCAAGACATCAGTCAGGAAGTTAAAGCTTGGTCGCAAATGGGTCTTCCAAATGGACAATAACCCCAAGCATACTTCCAAAGTTGTGGCAAAATGGATTAAGGACAACCAAGTCAAGGAATTGGAGTGGCCATCACAAAGCCCTGACCTACATCCTATAGAAAATGTGTGGGCAGAACTGAAAAAGCGTGTGCGAGCAAGGAGGCCTACAAACCTGACTCAGTTACACCAGCTCTGTCATGAGCAATGGGCCAAAATTCACACAACTTATTCACACAACTTACCCAGGGTTGTGGGTTCGATTCCCGCGGGGGGTATGAAAAATAATAATGTAATCACTCACTAACTGTAAGTTGCTCTGGATAAGAGCGTCTGCTAAATGACTTAAATGTAAATGTAAATGTGGGAAGCTTGTGGAAGGCTACCCGAAACATTTGACCCAAGTTAAACAATTTAAAGGCAATGCTACCAAATACTAATTGAGTGTATGTAAACTTCTGACCCACTGGGAATGTGATGAAAGAAATAATAGCTGAAATAAATCATTCTCTCTACTATTATTCTGACATTTCACATTCTTAAAATAAAGTGGTGATCCTAACTGACCTAAGACAGGGAATATTTTTAGTAGGATTCAATGTCAGGAATTTTGAAAAACTGAGTTTAAATGTTTTTGGCTAAGGTGTATGTAAACTTCCGACTTCAACTGTATGTGCATATTTGAATGTAACATTTTCATATGTAAACATATATCTTTTTTTTTTAATGTATTGTTTGTTGGTTTAATTATTTCTTAGCGTTAAAGGCCGAATTCAGAGTTGAGAAAAAATGTCGCAACTCAAAACGTTTTCCTAAATCATTAATGGAAGTCAATTGGAGAGTTATAAGAATCAAGTCTGAATACGGCCCAGTGTGTTGTCTTTCCCCATTTTGGTTGGATAGCTACTGTATCCTTTTTCAACGTATTACTTTCCCTAATCAAATATCAGAACCAATTCCCTGGAAATCGTTTGAGTAGCCTGTTGAATGGTCCTGTCATCTATCGTCAGAGATTATATCCATGGTTTGCTTTTCAAGTTTTTACTGTATTTTAAACGTTATACATTTTAATAGAGTTTATGTTAACAGGGAGTCACATTGAGAACCATGTCTCTTTTTATGAATGATGAGGTACAGGTATTATGAGTAGTAGAGGGTCTATTATATTTCAAAATTGTATTTAATGATCATAAAGTATGCGAAGACCATTGTGGTCTCTACTGTACATTGTTGTCAGTTGTCACTTTTGTGCTGTTTGCAAATAATGAGATACCTGTGGCTGAAATGTTCAGACTTCGATCTCTTGTTTGTATTATACATTAGGTGTCTTTGCCACAGTTCGCTTTGACAGATCATTTTATACAGCTTCTTAGAGGAATTCTAATTTTGCCATATTCAACTAAACACGCCTATTTCAAATATTGCACAGGTGTATCTTTGTTCATGTTATATTTTTTTCTCCTAATGTGAATGTGTAGAACTTGTTTAGCAGAAGCCATGTACTGGAGGAAGCCTACAGATAGAGGAACATTTATCAAGTTCAATCTTTATTGTACTCCTATAATCTACATGAGATCGAATCCAATTTTATTGTTCACATACACATATTTAGCAGATGTTATTGCGGGTGTAGCAAAATGTTTGTGATTGTGCAAACGTATAGTAGA